CATGCGAATCAAAATGAACATTTAGGTGCGAATAAGAAACGCTTTTGAATTCATAAATAAAAAAAAACATAATTAGGCGCGATGTAAAATTTCTGGTCGGACGAATCGTTCAAAAGAAGAAATGTGTAACATGATCATATACTTTTCTACTTTGTGCTTTCGCAGTATTGCTCTGACGGAACTCTACCGCAAGACATTTTAACTCTTTCTTTTCGCTTGGCGATTAACTGCACAATGGGTCACGCGTTACAGGGAAATACAAAAAAAAATTCCCGCTAATTTAAATCAAGTACATAAGAAAAGAAAATGGAGGACAAAATTTTCCGTCACTCACCCGATTTCTGCTGGCTCCACCGACGAAAGCGCTTTCTCGGGCCTGCTAAAAAAAAGGTTTTCACATAATTGATGGGCGTCTTGCCCCAGTGTAAATATCGATCGCCAAACTTAATTTGGGCATAAAGCCATGCACAGAAAAGAATAGGAAAAAATATATATTACATGCACTCACACAAATGCACTCACATAGCGCACAGAAAACCGACAAAAATTCCACACTTGCCTTTACATCATTTTACACCTTTTCACTCTGCCATATTCTTTACTTAGCCTACACGACTGAGCACCATAATAATAAGAATGATGTTAGCCTACAGCGTAAAAACTAAGAAAAAAAAATTAACACTAATCCAAAAACGAAATTAAACGATCACTTGAGATCAGGATCAAAATGCCCGCGCGCGGCTTGGCGTCAGCTCCGCTTGCTGATCAGCTCCAACTGCTCTATCGCTGATTCCTTTTTCTTTCGACTATGCCGGCTGGAATATCGGGAAGGTTGTGCTGGAGACTAACATTTCTGATAGAGAACTCTACATGGGCTCTTCTCTTAGCTTATTATTCTCCCTGTATGAACCGCATAGACTTAGTTTAGGATTGCGTAATTTCTCCCTCGCCGAAATATGCTCCAAGCGATACGGCAAAAATCCAAGTCTCCAACAATATTCGGCCATCCAGGTCGTCGACCCCGCGACAAAAGAGACAAAGAAATGCTCTTCTTAGGCACTTAATAAAGCACTTAAAAAGCGCCAAGCCCGGGTGGACCTAGCGCTTCTGGCAAAACAAAGAAAACTCCTTCTGATGCACAATTCAATTTGGCAGCGGCTGATTAAAATTGCTTTATATTTTTATTCACTCCGAAAACTTTGATTTATACGAGTTCAAATATAATTTTAAAGTTTAGAAAAACTGAACTTCCTAGCTCGACTGCCAAAATCAGAAAGAAAGATGGAAGCGCCTCGTCTTACGCTAGAAACCTTCTCTGTCGCCTCTTGCCACTTCGGGTCAGCTACGACACTTGACAGATGCCTCTGTAACGCTAGCCTCCCTATTCTACCACCATCCTACGTGACACGATCGCCTCTCATAGATGGCGGTAGCAAAGTACCTAAACCTGCACCAAGCGCTACAGCCACAACCACCTTTGCAGTGGTTGACCATAACGGATTAATTGTTTCATGGGGTCAGCTACCTCACCACTTCTCAGTTTTTACTGCGGAAGCAGTTGCTATTATGAAGGCAATTAAATTTGCTATAGGACTTAAGGGAAGTTATATCATCTGCAGTGATAGTCTGTCCACCTTGCAAGGAGTACAAAACTTCTGCAACAATAATACCCTTTTATCGGAAATTCGTCACCTCTGCATCAAAAACAAAGGCAAAATTAAACTATTATGGGTACAGGTTCATATAGGAATAATTGGGAACGAGTTAGCCGACAAAGCAGCAAAATTACTCGATTAAAAACCGGACATACTTATCGCACACATAAGCACATACTTAATGGGGAAGGTCGGCCAAACTGCCCTAACTGCGGAGAAGAACTTTCCGTAAAGCATCTGCTGGATACCTGCCGACACTACCAAAACATTAGAGCTAACCTATTCGGTCTTACCCCGCCATCAAATCTATTAACTGACCTTACTGCTACTAACTCCAATAAATTATTATCTTTCCTCCGGTTATGTAAAATTTCACAACAAATTTAATCACCCCTATGAATTTTCTAATATCACCTCCCATCAAATGTAAATAACAAATGCAAATGTAACAAAATTTCTTTTAAATCTATTAATTGACCAAACAGCTACCAACTCTAAATTAGTATTAACTTTCCCACGGATATGTAACAAATATTAATGTAACAAAGTTGTTATCAATTGTCGAGTCGATGGCCACAGTAGCTAGTTACTAAATGCGTTTTATGTATAATAGCTAATAAATAATAATAATAATAATAATAACTATACCATAAGTTAAAAAAAAAAAATGAATTTTTTTTTGCCACAAGGTGAGAACCTGCCTTAAATAAAAAAAGGGACATTAACATTTGGGTTTCCTCTTCTTCGAGAGAAACATGGTTGGGTGGGTTAAGAAAACAAGTTGCTACCAACATCAACGCCAAACCCTTACAATTCCTTGAAGTTCGCACTTGTTAAATAATTATTGACTCTGTTTTTGACTTTGCACCATGAAGAAGGTTTTGTTGTTTTGAGGGACTCTATATAATCAAATTCGTACCGTCGAATTTAGGCATCAGCAAGAACCTACCCCACCCGGAATGAGCTATCGTTTTAAGGGTCCCGCCGCTGCTGATTGTCCCTAAATTGTTAACCCGTTGTCTTGCTTCATCAACACGAAACCAACTGCAGCTACAAAAGGTTTGGTAGGCAACGCGGCTTGAGAGGTTACATATTTTCACGGTCACTTTTTGATAAAATTTTCCGGCAGATGTGGTGGTATTGAAGCATTGGCGATAACTTAGCACACGCTGAACCTGCATTCGCAAAAACTACCAAAAATTAAAAAACAATAATAAGAGGAACTCCCCATAAAAAAAGTCCACAATTAAAAATTGGTTTAGTTTATATGGTTCAAAGACCGTATGACATAAGGAAATTTGAAAAAGTCTAATATTTTTGGTTTCATGTGTTTCGAAATTGATTTTTGTGTTTGACTGCTAGTAAACAGCAAGCTAATTAATGTTTTTTTTCTTCCATTACCAAATCAAGTAGTTGCATATATCAATTCGTCCACATAAATTTATTGTGACGAGGGAGTAGGTCCTGGTGAGACAAGCCAAGAAAGAGGGGCTGCCGAAGTGTACGGGCATCAAATGGATGGCAGCCCAAAACAACGCTGGCCAAAACGCTTTTTATAAGTGCAATCAAAAGGTATCCCAAATTGCTTTACAATACAAATTTCAAAAGTAACGCGTCTCAAAAACATGTATTAACCTGCGTAGTATAACAAGAAACTACATTTTTAGCCGCAGCGTAATAGTTTTTAAGGTTTACCGAAAATTTGTGTTCAGAGATGAAGCTCATTTTACGCTTAACGGAGGTTTCGTATCATGTCATGAAACGGCTTACCCAAGTTGGGCAAGATAAGCTAAGTTTGCTTATATATGTGGCTTCAGCAATGCCACACAGCTTAAAAAACAATGCACATATTGAAGTATAAATTTGGTGACAAGCTTATATCCTAAGACAAACCGAGTTGGAGTTACTCAAACTAGTCTCTCAGGTTAAAAGCTATCTTGTTGAAACTTTCCCAAAAGGTGTGTAGTTATTGTACGCTGTATATAAGTCGGAACGGGCCGGATCGGCCGACTGTATCGGATAGCTCCAATACAAGAGAATGAAATAAAGAAATCTCACGCCGTTGTTTTTAATCAGATCGACTTAATTTCGTTCAGATGGGGGTTTCAAACTAATATTGAATATCAGATTTAATTTTATTAAAATTGGACAACTCTATCATATAGCTGCCATAGGAAAGATCGAAAAACATAAAGTCGTTGTTTTTAATCCCACGAGCATGATTTTCAAAATAAAAATTGAATTGAGAAAAAAATTTCATTAACATCCAAAAACGTTATCATATACATAGCTCCCATAGGAAAGATCGAAAAATCTATATAGAAATACCTGAAATAACATAATGATATTGATTTTTTTCATCAGACAAGCATGATTTTTCGAATACAGAGTTTTCTAACTACTCTTGAATTACGAATTAAATTTCATAAAAATCGGAAAACTATATCTTATAGCTGACATATGAACAATAGCAGAAAATATGGAAAATTAATAGAAAAATCGTCATAGCTTCGATGTTATTTTTTTTTTTACATTCTTTTACTCCACCCGGGAGCTTAGAGCCTCTACAATTTCTTGTAGAGGATTCGTTATCATTGATTTTCGATCGTACCGGTGATAAGCCAGTAGCGACTTATCCTAGCGGTGGGGATGCCACCTGGCGCCATCTAGGAGTGACGAAAATTCTATTGTTGGGTCCATAGTATCGTGGACGAGAGGGTGTGCGGGTCCGGGGAGCCGAAATTTGTTACTAATGTTAAGTGAGCGATAGAGCATAGAAGTGGTGGAGATTTGGAGAAAGAGACCGTTTCTTTTTCTCGGGGAGCCTGGGGCTCGACTTGAACCCGGGCCTTCCGGACCGGAGGCCAGCGCTCTACCTGCTGGACCACCGTCCCCCCATTATTAAGCCTTTATATATTTTGTTCGTCATATTTAATGACTACAAGGGTATATAAGCTACGGTTTGCCGAAGCTAGCTTCCTTTCTTGTTTTAACTTGGTGGGACGAACTCACAAACTACTGAGCTAACCGCACCGTGAGCAGACAGAGGTAATCACTTCGAAATTTTTACAATACAATACAAAACTAGACTGAAGTTATGTCGTACACGGAAAAGCCGGAATAGGGAAACCTTAACCCACTAGCAAAAGCAATTAAACAAAAAAAGTTTGGAAAAAACTAGTTTCGAACTAAAGACATAAAAGAATTATTTCTAGTCTAGTCGTTTTTAATATTTAAGTTTTAATTATCATACCCAAGGCTTTTAAAATGTATGGGTAAAAGATGAAAGAAATCCTAAAGATTAACATTTTTTTTAATAGGTAGTTGTGAACATTTAAAACTTACCCCAATAAATATATCGCCGTGATGATACCAGCTATTACAAAACTTATAACAATCAAAGAAAATATTATACTTCTCCAATTGTGACCTTCATCCAAATCTATATCTTGATCTTTTTGCTTTGGATCTTGGACTTGTAAAGTTTCGTCCGGTGGGAGTCTCCATGAACCCCCTCCTCCTCCACCGCGATCTGATGTCATGTTTGCGTGCATTTCTTTTTAACAGAGTCCAATATACATCACAAACAACGTCTGCAATAAATATAGGATTTAATAATATATAGGCGTACATTTTTATTATACATAAATTTAACCAAACATTTTTATTATACATACATTCAATAACATCTACGGGGCTTGCTTAAGAAGTTTTTTGTAATCATCATGCTTTTACTCATTTATATATCGTGTGAGAAATAACTGAAATATTTATAAAAATATATGTATAAACATATGTATTATGTATATATGTATTATATGTTAATATATTATCATAAAAAAGTTGATATTAAACTATAACTTAACTATATGAAAATATTCATTGGTCTTCAAACACTGCAACATCGGCCAGGTAACACGTTATCTATAGAAACATACCCCTGTGCAGTCCTCAGAGCTTAACTTAAAAAGGAGGCACTGAACTACAGCTACACATTAGGGTGGAGTGAAAATAGCAAAAAAAAATAATATTTTTTTCAAATTTCCTGTACTATCAATCGATGATCCTAAGTTAAACCTCTGTTCATACCAAAAATTAGACACCTAGGACTTAATCTTCAGGTGGCATAATGCTTCATCATTCCACCATTTAAATTCAATCGCGCCTCCTGCGCTTTAACTTTTGTATTAATTGTGTTGGCAGCCCTACACATTTACATTAAAATTAGTCAACACTGTCACTTGACAATAAGAACAAGAAAAAGTATGCACAGCTACACATACATATGCACGGAGGGACTAACCAAAATTCGATAGAAAAAATTGAAAATTTTGTATAAAATTTTATATCTTTATTCATCATCTCTTTGTATTTTTTCAACGTAATCGCCATTTATTTCGATACATTTTTGAAGTCAATAAATCCACCTTAAAAAACAGTCTTCAAAATCGGCTTTTTGGAGTTTTGAAATTTTATCATTGACCGCATTTATTATCTCCTCATTGGTGTTGAATATTCTTCCTCACAAAATGTTTCTTTATTTTTGAAAATAACCCGAAGTCGCAAGGTGCTAGATCTGGGGAATAAGGTGCTGGTCGAATTTCTTCGATGACTGACAGCACAATAAAGTCACTTGTTTTTTCAGCAGTGTGCGGTGACCCATTGTTATGATGCAAAAACTATCGGCGACGTTCCATTTTTTTGCGTTTTTCCAATAAACTTTGGAATACTTCTGGTAAGTAAGTTTCAGTATATCACTTGGCAGTTACCGTCTGACCTTTTTCCAATGGAATATCATTTAGCAATTAGCAAATTTCATCAAAATGGGACAACAATATCATATATGTACATAGCTGCCATACGAACAATAGTCGAAAATATGGAAAATTAAAACAAAAATCGTCATAGTTTCAATTTTGTTTAGCCTTTATGCATTTTAATCGACATATTTGATAACTGCAAGGGTATATAAGCTTCGGGTTGCCAAAGTTAGCTTCCTTTCTTGTTTTTACTATCGAGGTTCGAATTAAATTTGATCTAAGTCGGGTAACTCGATCATATAGCTGCCATAAGAAAGATCGAAAAGATAAAATAATAATCTATGGAATATGGTGTTTTTTAATTATTTTTGAATTTCAAATTAGATTTCATAAAAATCGAACGACTATATCATAAAGCTGTCATATGAACAGTCGTCGAAAATATAGAAACTTAATAGAAAAATCGTCATAGCTTCCATGTTGTTTAGAATTTTGTTTGACATATTCAACATTCCTTGACGTATTTGATTGCGGCAAACCGAAGCTAGCTTCCTTTCTTGTCTAATATATAAAATTCTCGTGTCACAGTTTTTGTGACCTTACTCCTCCGAAACGGCTATACCGATTATCAAGTGAGTTTCTACCTCATCACACTGACAAAAACACGCTACCATAGCATTTTAAATCAATTTGAACTGGGGTAGAAGTCCTTCATCATTAAATAAAATCATTAATTCTATTTATGAGTGTTTTGTCCAGTGAGCTATGCCAAGAAAATGCAAAGCGGGTACTTTGAGCCGTGATACAAGTAGATCTCGATACATGCGAAATAGAAGATCCGAAAGAATAGCGCAATTGCATCAAGAAGAGCCAGAAGATACACGAGCTGAACGCAATGAAGTCATTAGATTAGAGCAACGACAACCACGCCGTGTCACAGTCAGTAGAGGCAGAACAAATGACCATCAACGACAACAGGTACATCGAGCATTTATATATGTTTCATTACTGCGTCTAGCATTCCAGTATGAGCCCGATATTGAGTATTATGCTCACTCCAAAGTGGTAATTGGTGCTATGGACAAGGAATGTCCGCATTGTCATGCTCTGAAATTTAAAAATAAGCCAGCTGGGATTTGTTGCGCGTCAGGAAAAGTGCAACTACCAGAAATTAAAACACCACCTGAACCATTGAACGGCTTACTTATCGGCACGGATCCAGATTCTAACGTGTTCCTGAAGTCAATTCGAACATTTGATTCATGCTTTCAAATGACATCGTTCGGAGCAACAGAAATAGTTCGAAATACTAATGCAAATGGTCAAAATTACAATTTTACATTCAAAATTAGAGGCCAAGTTTATCATAAAATGGGCTCACTGCTGCCATGGCCAAATGAACAACATAAATTCTTACAAATCTACTTTATGGGCGGAGAGGATTCCGGAAGCGCACTTGCCAATCGCGTGAATGCACGTTGTGATTATAATAACCTGGATTCATTTTATGCCAGACGCAATTATTATAACTTAAACATACATACATAAATACATTTGTAAGTCTAGAACTGAGTAAAAACAACGTTTGCCGGGTCAGCTAGTTTTATATAAATTTTGATTTTGAAGTGAAAACTTCTTTAGGCGCATGAGGGTAAAATTTTTACACATGTAACGGTAACGTCACGCAGGTAGGCAACGGAAGTGTCAAAAAGAAAAAGAAAGCGATCGAGACCGATTGCTGCTTCCATGGTACAATTATATAAGGTAGTCCCGTCGGCTGCAAAATCGTTCGGGTTTTTTCCCCCTATCGACCCGAACCCGTAGGAAAACACTCTTTCTCTCGCTCTAATTGTAGTGTCGATAGGGGAAAGAAAAGCCGACGGGACTACTATACTAATTGTACCATGGCTGCGTCTTCCCCCTATTGCGCACTACATTGAGTGCGAGTGAGAGTATGTTTTCTTATAAGTGCGAAAGAAACATAAGAAGATGATGTCGTTTTACCCTTATGCTGTGCATGGGGTTTAAAAAGGACTCTTATATGACAGTGAGTATTAATTGTTCCGTAATTTTTGGTTTTTATTGTCCTTCAGGACTCGCTCTCATATTGTTCACATTTCAAAATATTTTTTTACAATATTACATGTTACGCCTTGTATGTGCTTGCTGCAATAATTGCAACAAGTATTTTTCATAAACACACAAGGGATAACGTCGAGAAAAAATATCGTCCGCGTACAACCTTTCATTTCGAAAACCCGAACGCACTATAGGGGGAAAATATCTGAAGAATTCTGCAGCCGACGAGACTACCTTGTATAATTGTACCATGGACGAGACTATCTTGTATAATTCTTCCATGATTATACTATGGTCGTATCACGCACAGTGTCATGGAGCGAGAGATGCGAGAGAGCTATAGTGAGAAAGATTGAACGAGAAAGAGAATAAGGGATATTGAGAAATAATAAATAATATATTGGTTTGTGTATTCGTTTACTAGTTAATTATTAGAACTTAAGATGGCAAATCTGTCGCATAACGTCATTCGCATTAAACGCAGATTTTCCATCTAATATTTTGTGATAATTTTAAAGTCGTCCTGTACTAAGCAGTTACTTGAAGTAAGTAATATATCTGTTATCTTTTTGTTTATTTACAATTTTTATGCTAATTGGTTTAAAGGACAGGTAGTTTTAATATTTACAAATAAAATGTTGTATTTCATCTTGCTACTCATCATTTAATAATTTGATTAATCATTTCCCATAAAATACAAATATTTGATAAATTCGCTTTTCTACATTTTAAGTTCAGAAACAAAATTTAATTAACTTTTAATATTTTAATGGCAGTTAAATTTTTAACATATTTTTTCTTTTTCCCTTTCTTTAAGTCTCGGAAATCTAAAGTTTTAGATTTGTATAAATATGGACAAGACTGATAAATTAGTTCGCCAAAAAATAAATTATAAATAAAAAGACAAAAATTAGCGTCACGAGGTTTATGGACGGCCCCTTATACGTTTGAAGGATTGGGCTTTCGCTGAGGCTCCTGCCAGGTCAGCTAACTAGGAAGTTGGTGAAAGTCACAGTAGCGCACTTTTCTGCGTTAATAAAATGCATCGAGGTAAAATGCATCAAGCAAAGCATTTTGTTCTTCAACCTCGGTGGGTAGTGGAACTCCAGCAGAAATTGTTTTAATGAAATTGCATTTTTCAGCAGAGGCATGGAATGTGCGACTTGGAACAGCTGGGGTGTGAATAGTCTATTGCATTTTTTCCCAAAGTGGTCCAGGTGGACCACTAGGGGTTCACGGGTGACTCGACGGGGGTCTACGTTCGGCGTGACAAAAAATGGTGGTCTACACTTTGTGTACGGGGGTGCATGAAATTTAATTTAGTTTCGATAGTGAAGAACTAAAATGTTGGCTTGACTTCTTCTATCAATATCAGCAGATAATGTTTTAAGAAGCTCAGCGACTGCTACTTGTAAAAACATGTATAATAGCATTTAAAAAAGGGTATCAAAAATTTTGGCTGCAGGCAGAAATACCTTACTAAGACTGTGGACAATAGCGCAAAAGCTTCTTATAGCGTTTCCCTCGTCAAAAAAAGTTTTAGTGCCGTTACAAACTTATCAACAAAAAAAAAGGAGCAGATTGAATATCACAAAACGGGGAGATTTGCGGTTATTACTTACAAAACTCAAGCCAGATATTGATAATTTGCTAACAAAACATCAAGTACATCCATCTCTTTAAAATTATATATTTTTCGTAGTTACCATTGTAGAAGTTACATTACTTTACGACTATTATAACAATAATAATTAATATTGTGATAATTTCAATATTTGAATATATACCTGCAACACAATGAAATACCTACATCTTCGTTTTGATGTTTGTTTAATTATAATTTGTGAGAATTGATTTTGAAATTAGGCACAGGGGTCCGCCAGATCTAGCAAAGTTTTGAAAGTGGTCTATGAAAGAAAAGA